CATTTGATATTTTTACGGATTAAAGATCATCAATGATTATATTGACGCTTAATATGAGATAGAATGCGAGTCTCAATGTGCGCTATATATTAATAAAAAATAAACGTAGCTCTCACTATCACGCGATTGTGGCTCAATCGACTCGTAAGGAAGGGAAGGAAAGGTATTTCCATCTGTGAAGATAACGAATTTCCACAGATAATTATCCAGTTTGTCGAAACGAAGGGAAATATTTTGACAATGTTCCAATCTATCGCAAATAACGCTGTCGAATCGTAACATTTCTCGCGGAATTGTAAAGTAGTTCAACCGCCGCGCAGCGCCGACGCTTTTAAAACATTTCGCCGATGTAACGCAGCGCCGTAACATTTCATCGCGCGAATTATCCATGAAAATATTCAGTCTTTTGCCGTGAACCGTTAAATGGAATCCCAGATTTTAATAGTTGCCGTCGCGGGGCCGTGCCGCGGGGGGTGGCGAAGGTGGAAACAGCGGGAGGAGGAGGGGGAAAACGGAAAGAGGAAGGGGGGAGACGTGCAACGAAAACGGAAGGATAGAATTTCCTATCTGCGATATGAGACCGCGGGCGGCGAGGGCAGTGATGAGGGCTAGGAGGGCGGATGCGAACAGGGGTAAGGGTGAGGGACGCGGTCTCGACTGTACGATGGTAACGCGGCTCGGCGATGGCCATGGCGGACGGGAATCCGCGGGACGCGGGCTCGGATATCATTTTTCAGCAGTTTTACCTCGCAAGCACGTCCCAGGTATAAATGAGCTTACTATCTCCGAGCAACTCTTCCCCCACTGCGAATAAGCGAGCGAGCGAGCGAGCGAGTGAGCGACCGACCGACCGGCCGACCACGCCGCGGCGACCCTTTTCCACCGATCTATGGTGGGTGCGGCCGAAGCGTTCGGACATCCGCGAGAAAGCAAAACGAGGGGGACATCCGGCGAAATGAAGCTACCTCCATGTGGTAGCGCGAGAATACGCGCGATATATACGTGCGAGGATTTTCCGGCGATTCTTGACACTGTATAAGTGTACGCATGTATTGTATATCGGCGTTTCTACGAGCTTTTCCGATTGCGATCGCTCGTAATCAATTTCCCAGAGATATATTCGACAGAAATCGCGAGAACACGGTGATGCTGTTTTTATTGCACGTTGAACTAACGGATTTCTTCTTTTTCTTTACAGACGCACAAGGAAGTACCGTGTATTTGATGAAGATGACCGAACAAAAACGTGAACTCGCAATCGTTAGAACGGATGAATCTCGTGTCTGGCGGACGTATCGTGGTAAAGGGACATTGTAAATTCAGGGACGGTACTGCAAACCTTCCTGGTACGCACGTACGCATTCATGCACGTATGCACGCGTGCACGTCCGTTCTTTCGCGGACAGATGAAAAAGACGGGAAATGAGATGTGCTTCGAGCTTGTAGCCCTCTTGCAGAGATGACCAGTAATTTGTTAAAGGATTGACGTCTCGGAAATTGGATATTAAACGAATTCTTT